TGCATTAAACATTTGCTGACTAAAACTAAATTCATACAAGACAGGCTAAACAGCTTGGAACAAATTTTAAGTGTTCTAAAAGTATAGGAAATAAACAAAGTTAACAATTTGTAGGGTGGCAGACAAAAAAACAAAGAAGGGTGTATCTTTCTGGGGGGGAGGAGGTACAAGAGGTACAGGAATCTGTATCAGTGGGGAGAAGGCTGCCCAAAGTAGTGAGGCCAGAATGAGTGAGCCCTGAAATCCTAACAAAGAGCTTTAATCCACTCTATAAGCTATGGGGCTCTAAGAGAGATTCTTGGAGGATTAAAATGAAGGTGGAAAAGATGAGCCCAGGTAGGTTAACCTATCATCTGAGTAGAGGCTGGTTAGAACTAGACAGAAAAGAGGCAAGATGGTTAAAGGTGCTTAAAATAAGCCAGTGTGAGGTTTATCACCTGGAAAAGAAAAGAAGGGGGCAGAGCCTAGGATTAAGAAACAGAACAAGGTGATGAACAGGGCTCAGGAAATGAAGACAGTATCAAAACTGCTTTCCTCTGAGCCCACCTTACCCTAAGATTTACAGATTGAAAGATACAGAAATAAAGATGAAGGGAAACATGATCTGGGTCTTCCCAATTCTTAAAACACAAATTTTATTTTATTATGTATACAGTACATAATGAAACATTGTATTGGGCAGAAAGAAACCCAGGCAACAGTACATTAATTATTCAGCATTCATTCCACTGCATTGTTGTTGGGGCAACATGTTTAATAAATAGCATTTACTTAGACAATCTATTTCTATTTCTGCCTGCTAGGATTCAATTAGACAAAACAAATTTACTCCAAGGTATGAAACAGGGGAAAGAGCAATGTACTAAAAACAAGGATGCCAGGGTTCTGGTCCTAGCTCTCAAACGAACTCCACTATGTCAACCTGACATTTGTGACTTTCCTGAACACAGATTTCCTTATCTGCAAAACTGGCCCAGAGAGAAGACAGACAGGGCCTGGGAGTGAGTTCTACTTGAGTTCAGCAGAGTCCTGGGAGGTACTTCAGGGGTCCCATGAAGGTAAGGAAGGAGCGGAGTGGGAAGTTCTCAACCACCACCCACACTCTCCTCAGCCTGAGAAGCTCCACTTTCCTATCCACTACATTGGAGATGGAGATGTCATTCAGTATTCAGTGTGATCCCACACTTTACCCCCACCACCAAGAGAAAATTGCTGGTCTATATGTTAAGAATCTTGTGGTGTAGAGTCAGCTGGCTGATTTCCCAAAGAATGATAATACAAGTTGATAGCTGTGTGAATCTGTAAGTTAATAAGAAGCTATAATCTTTTTAAAAAATTCACAAAAGCCCAAATAAGACACACTCTTAGAATGTGGGTGGAAAACTAAACTTTCATGGCAGGAATAAAAGTTTGAGAGACTCAATGAAGGTAACCAGAACTATTAGCCGATAACGCAAAAGGCTGCAGTTACCTTCTTTAGATTATCTTAATGTTTTAAGGGGTAAGTATCACTTGTGTGCTAAACATTTCTTTTTAAAGAAAAAAACTTTGAAAAGTACAAAAACACTGACAACTGACCTCTCAGCAGCTCAGAGCACAGGGACTGGGGAACTTCCCAGGACTCCCTGATCTGAGAAGCTTCATCAGGTCCCTAGGCCACACTGACCAGACTTGCGAGTTAATTTCACTAATGTCCCACACTTTACAACTGTAGAAACTTGGATGCTAACTAGAAGCTTGGGTTAACTCTTCTTTAGAAACAGAAGAGAACAGGATGATGAATCAAAATGAACATACTCTAGGGTTTTCCAAAGTTCATATTGCAATTGGCAGCGGATCTTGAGAAAATCAACTTACTGGATTTTTCAATTTAATGTTCATTTGGGGACTATTTTGTACTAATTTAAATGTTATTAAAATAATATGTGATATCACTTTGTTATTCTTTTACCCAACATAGTAATGGATTTGAGTGTGTGCTTATGTTTCTGTTTTATAAATCTTCTATATGTGTACATGTCACAACATAAACTCTATTTCTTACTGAGAGCTGTAAAAAATGTTTGAAAAGCACTTCTTTGGTAGATACTGGAACTGAGAGAAGAAGCTTGATTTCTGTTTGATCTTAGAGAATTTTAAGAAGTTTGGTCTTAAAATAAAGAGGTGGGGACAGTGTGGAGGGACCCAATATTTCCTGAGTGATGACCATTTTGTAGACCTTGTGCTTGATGTTAAGGAGCTGGCCTTATGGGGATGGGAGGGTGGGGGTATGAGGGGCTCATCAGGAATTTCACCTGTTATCTTGATGAAGGGAATTGAAGTAATTCCTCCAAAGTCACAACTAGTAAGAGGCAGATTCTGAATCCCAACTTGATAGTCCATCTGACTATTAACTGCAGTTTCTTAGCTATAGGGGAAGGAGGAGGAGAAACTTAAATTGTTTCATTCAGGTTAGCTCTAAAATATACTACTTGCATCTAAATCATGAGTATCATCATCCCTGTGGCTAACATTCATTAAACCCTCATTTGTTTCAGCCACTATATTAAGTGCCTTAAAAATCTTCATTTCACTTAATCTTCACAAAAACCTTATATGTACTATAATCATTCCTGTTTACTGCAGGCTTTCAGTAGTTCAGTAACTTGACCAGAGTTACACAAACATTGTGGATGTAAAATCCAAATGCACATTAAATAGCTAGATACAGCTTTTTTTTTTTATAGTTTCTACACATATTCAGGGAAAATATCTGCTAAAATAGCTATTTCCCTTCAAACTGTTGGAGTCTGAAGAGTTGAAATCTCAATTTCTCACCTATGAAATAAAGCTGAGATTTGGGGAGCTGGGTGGCTCATTCAGTTGAGTGTCAGACTCTTGATTTTGGCTCAAGTAGTGACCTCACAGTTCGTGAGATCAAGCCCTGCATCAGGCTCTGCGCTGAATGTGGGGCCTGGTTAAGATTGCCAATCTCTCTCCCTCTGCCCCTTGCATTCTCTCTTTCTCTCTCTATCTAAAAGAAGAAGAAATAAAAGAAATAAAAGTGAGGTTAGATGTTACTTAGGACTTTTTTAAAATTCAGCTTTTTCTAGTTCTAAAATAGGTCATGCAGGTAGGTTTCCATTTAAAGACTGCAGGCAAACACAGCAGTCTGTATAATTTTACCACTTCAGCTTCCTGGCTACTAACACTGCAGGGCTGGTTCCTGAACACTTGCAGCCCCACTTTCTAAAGTCCCTGTCCATTCAGCAATCTGCTTACTATAAGAATATACTCTTTGGTTATAATCACTGTATTTGAAAAATGTTTAGTGTTCAATATTCTTCATAGTAATCAAATAGCTTTTAAAATATTATGCTGATTTAAGGATTGGGGTTTATACTCTAATAACACTTTTGTCTGTAAGGCTTCTTTTCTTATTCTATTGACCTGGATAACTGCTGGCTATGAAGTCCTAATCTGGAGGTGGGGTGCTAAGGGCCGAGATGGGGATAGACCTCTATTTTCTTGAAAAGGCAGCTCAAGCAGCTTTAGAAATCCCTATTTGCCACGGAATTTGAGCTGCACACATAAGGCACAGTACAGAGGACTGTGAGAAGCAGGGATTTTTATGATTTTGCTGTCACAGTCTCAGCTAGTAACTACTCTGGTGGAATTTTGGGGACTTCAGTTTAGGTGAGGTTTAGCCCATTTCCTTGTGTATCATGTGTCTGACATCTAGCCTTCTCGGCTTCAGACAACTGATAGGACATATATCCTGTAGAAAATGGTATGAGCCAGAGGATCTTAGGGATACTGATTTTCCAGTTTTCTCACCCTTTTGTAATTGTATCTCCTTTTTATTCTCAGCATTAAGCTTAAGCTATTGTAGAATCTTGTCTGAATGAGATATAGTTACAACCAAGTGATTTCCATGTCCTATCAAGCAGGTAAAAATGAAACTCTGCCATACCTTCAAATTACATCTTCTCTTTCAGAAAAATACAAGACTCAAATTGGTCTGTGAGCAAACTGAGCTGACTTCCCACTGAGAGATAAGAGGGCAGTTATTCCTAAAAAGGGGGCAAGGGAAGGTAAAATGGAATGAAACAGAGCAGAATTTCCAAGGGCACTCATACATTCTTGTTTGCAAGGTCACACATACATCCTACTTGAAAAGGGCTGAAAAGGGGCACCTGGGTGGCTCTGTCATTAAGCTTCAGACTTTGGCTCAGGTCATGATCTCACAGTTCATGGGTTTGAGTCCCGCGCGGGCTCTGTGCTGACAGCTAGCTCAGAACCTGGAGCCTGCTTCACATTCTGTATCTCCCTCTCTCTCTGGCCCTCCCCTGCTCACGCTGCCCCCCCCCCCGCCCCAGGAGTAAATAGAATATTAAAATATTTTTTTTTTTAAAGAAAAGGGCTGAAAGTCCTGCACAGTATTCAGCTATCCTTTCACCTGATTTTACTCATGCAGATACACACTCCTATCATATTTCCAAGAGATACACTGAGACACAAAAACCATGCTTTCCAAAGCAGACAGGGTAGGAAGATTAAGAGAAGGGAGGAAAGGATGGGTGTGCGGGCGCCTGGTGGGGAGATACTGAGCAAGGGATAAGTTCGGAAAGTGAGTGGATACAAAGAAAGTAAACATTGACACTGAACAGGGATAGCAGAGAGCCACATGGCTTAGTCCTGTAAAATAAGCAAAGTAAGAATCAAAAGAGTGGTGCTTCCACCTTTAGCGATTCAGCTTTAGAGATCAAGAAGTACCTAGGGAAGCCCAGAGGCTCTGGGTTTCTTTCTTAGTTGCACCTGTTTCAGAAGGGCCTGGGCTAATAACTGAGGAAAACAACAGGTTCCCACAGGCAGAAACTCGAGCCACTCCCCGCACCTCCTGGCGCCTGTGCCAGGAGCTGCCAGACCGAGGCCCAGGCCTCCACTGCCCTGCCAGGCCAGGCAACAATGGCTTCCTGTCTTTCTGGGCCCAGGGTGAGACCCACTTTCCCAAGGCTCACCTGCTGGGAGCCAGGTGAAGAGGAGCAGCCAAGGTGCAGGCAGCTCGGGGCCCATGCCTGTCGCTCCCTCGCCCCTTTCAGCTCAGGGGCTCCGGGGACAAGGCAGCTCTCTTCCACAGCTGTCACCCCAGGACGCACCACTTCTCCAAGGAATCCCTCCGCTTTCCCCTCACTCGGCGCTGCGCGGCGGAAGGGCCGGCCTCCGTCCCGAGCAGGTGAGGTCCGGCTCATCCCCACCTGGGGCGCGCCCGTCGGCCCCGCCTCCCGCCCCGCGCACCGCCCTTTCCTGCTCCGCCCCCCGGTCCCGGAGGACCACGGCTACCTTTCCTACCTGCCACCGCCTTGCCTCCTCCTCCTCCTCCTCCTCCTCCTCCGTAGGACTCCAGGTAGTTCTCCTCACTGGAACCCCATCTCTTGCCATAACTCTCCCGCTATAAAAAACGTTAACATTTTCCCCCCATAAGTTCTTGGGAAATCTCACCCCTAGCAACTTTCTTCCCTCTTTTTGCAGAATTTATGTGGACATAAATAACTGTTTAGGTGGATTTCCTGCGTTATAATTCCTTTCCCTCATATGTGCTTGGAAACCCCCCCCCCACTAAAAACACACTAATATGACGTTTGCACATGTTTGCTCAGATTTTCTAGAAAAGAAAGATGTATGGTATAAACTAGACAAATAAGTTTAATTTTCCACAAATGTAAAACTCATGGATGCTTATTACAGAAAAGTTAGAAAAATAGAAATTATTAGAAATAAGAAAAAATCCTGCCCCCACCACCCATAGTTAGGCATTGTTAATGTCCTTTTTAATTAATTTCCATCCTTTATGAAGTGCAGCTCCACAGCCCCTCACAGACTCAGCCCTTCCAAGGTCAAAGATTCTAGGTCACTTTGCACCAGGCCAACTAGGATATAATCCTGCCCCTCCTTCCTTAGCAGGAACCCACTAGGGAACCATAAAACACGGGAAGAAGACATACCTGCCTTCAGGGACCAACCGACAAAATTAACATAGAAAGTCATCTATACATTGGTCAGTATAAATAACAAGCTATTTTATACACCTCTCCCTTATTAGGGATTGTTCATGTGCACTCCCTTCTAGCCACCATCTTTTTCCTCAAGAAAAGAATTATAAAGGTGCATTAAACATGGTTTCTGCCCCTCGGGAAGCTCCCATTCTCTTCAGTGACCTTAGAAGTCAATATTATTCTCTTAAGTGTATCCCCTGCCCTGCTCTGCTGTGAAGGGTTCTCTTCTCTAGAGCTACTCATGCCCCTTATCTCACTTCCACCCAGAGGAACATCCTTGTCCTGAGATTAACTAGAGGTCAACCCAATCCCTTCTCCTAGTTTCCCCTCCTCCCCCTTAGTCTGCCTTCTAGTTCCCCAATTTGGCCTCTCCACTTTAAATGTTTTTCCTGTAGCCACTTCTCTTCAAGAAAGTAGGAAGTAAATTTAGGCAGTAAGTAAATGGCCAAAGGCAGATGGTACAGAATGTTCAGGGGCCTTTAGATCTTCCACAGTGGGATCTTAGCACAGCAGCAGAAGCAGGATATAATGTGAGGAATGCTTCCCGTACCCCTTCCAGATACTGTGCACATGCTCCCAGGAACATTGTATGTATTTGAGTGTTTGTGACCCTGAGGGATTTGTGTGGCTCCTGGATTTGTAAATTGCTCTAGGCAAATTTCAATCCAAGTCTAAAAAAGCATGAGCCCTCTCTTTCCCAAACCTACTTCCCATGCCTTTCAGCCCTTGCTTTGATATAAAGGTCAATTTAATACTACGTGCATCTGTTTTCTTTACCACCTATATTCTATATGAAGCAATGTTGTAAGAGCCTTATATGCATTGTCTCATTGCATTTCTACAATAACTATATGAAGTAGGGACTGGTTATTCTGTTATTATCAATTCTATTTTACAGATGTGGCAGCTGAGGTACAAAGAAGTAAGTGGGTGGAGTTATGAGCCTAAGTGAGGTAGTCTGATTCTAGACCTTTCTGCTTTTGGTTATTACACCATACACTCTCACCTAGCTATGTCTCAATCTGTGTTTACAGTTAGTTTATCAGCTAAGGCAGTTTGTTTCCACATATATCATTTAGATCTACATAAAGTAAAACTCCATTCCACTACCATGAGCTCTCCTGGACCTGTTATTCTGCCAACATGTACCATTGATTCAATAAGATTTGATAAAAATATACATTTGGCTCAGAACAACAAACAGTGCTTTCATTGCTAAATATAGAAATGAAATCACTTTACCTGCTGAATAGTGACTGAGACAAAAGTATCTTCATATAAAAGGTAACAATAGGTACTTTTATTAAACACTTATATTGTGCTGGACACTATTCTCAGCACTTTTGTATTAACTTCAATAATTCTCTCAACAATATTCTGAGGCATGGACTATTATTGTCCCCATTTTACAGCTAAGGAACTTGGGGCACAAAGGTTCAGTTACTTACCCAGGGTCACCCAGCTTGTAAGCAGCAAAGCTGAGATGCAAACTCAGTCCATCTGCCTTTGGAGAGCACACCCTTAATCATTATCCTAGCCATATTGTGTTTCTTTGTGTTCACTGGTCCCGGGTCTAACCACAAAGTACAGAACTTATGATTTCATCATTAATAATCATACTTTCTAGTTAAAACTGTCCACAAATGTTTCTGAACACTGTGTCTACATATGCATATTCATCTCTACTTGAGAATAGTTTGATATTTGTACATCTGTGTATTTATCAAGAATGGAAGAAAGAAAATAAAGAAATATGTAAGTAAGAATCTTGCTCCAGGCATTTAAGCCTAAAGGGAGGCAAGAAATGAAAGTATCTAACTGATGCTGCAACATTTGGAACGTATCTTATTCATTTTGTACATCTGGCATACAAAGAACATAGCACCTGGCATATAGTAGTGCTCAATAGATCTTCTTGAGTTCTTTATCTATAGTTGCTGGAGCAAGTAACATATGAGCTGGGTTTAAAATGAACAATTCTGCCAGAGCAATCCAAGCAGAGAGACTATGTGCAAAAATCATAGCACCAGGGAGTAGCATTGCTGAACTATAAGCACTTCAATTTTGCTAGGGCAAGGTGGGGAGTGGTAGGAAAATATGTTAGAGAGCCAGGGTAAATAAAGGGCCTTGCATGACCAGCTAGAGAACTAAGACTTTATACAGTAGACATTAGGGAGGCAGTGAAGGGTTTTAAGCTGTGCAAGACATGTTCAGACTTGTGTATTAGGAAGATAAACTTGTCAGCAATGAGAAGACTGGTAAGCAAGGACTGAGATGAAAGGCAGAGAGATCAGTTAGGAAACTTACTATGGTCAAGATGGAAATACTGAGGACTCAACCCAGTCATTGATGTTGAGAATGGAGAAGAAAAAATACTTTGGCAGATATTTAGAATGTAGAATTGACAAGACTGATGGTAAATTAGATGTGGCGATTGAGAGAATATAGATTTCCGATTAAGTCTGTGTAGGTGGTGATGCCATTATACACAGATATACAGAAAAACTTTGAATCATTTTAGACACATTTGCACTTGAGAGAATAGTGGAGCATCCAAATGAAACTCCTATGGAAAGTTTGACACCTTTACTAAGTACAGTTGTTTGAGTGAGGTTGGTAGGAGCTGCATGTTTAATAAGAGAGGTCTGGATCAGATGGGACTGGAAGATATACTTTTTGGTCAGTAGAATATAATCCAGTAAACAATTCATCTGGAAGTAGGGGTAAAGCAGGAGATCATAAAATCTGGGGAAAGAAGTTTCAGAACAAATATGTTCATCATTATTACCACTCCTGTTCAACATTATATTGAATCTTCTAATTAGCATAAGAAAATTAAAAAGGCTAAACATGAATATAGATATTATTATTCACAGTGTTATGATTACACAGATCTGAAGAGAATCTATATACATAAGGACTAACAAGAAGTTGCTGAAAACAAGGTTAATATGTTAATGTCACTGACATCTGTATATACCAGTAACATCCATTTGGAAGATATAACTTTAAAATATACATATGTGGGACACCTGGGTGGCTTAGTCAGTTAAGCGTCCAACTCGATTTCAGCTCAGGTCATGATCTCAGAGTTTGTGGGATCAAACCCTGTGTCATAGGCTCTGTGAACGTTGTGGAGCCTGCTTGGGATTCTCTCTCTCTCTCCCTGTCTCTCTCTGTCCCATCGCCCCCCCCTTCAAAATAAATAGATAAACTTTAAAAAATAAAAATAAAATATACATTTGTAATAGCAGTAAATCTGTAAAGTAGGAATAAATCTAACAATATATGTGAAATAGCTCTATGGAGAAAATTGTCAATAAATGCAAAGATGTACCATATGCATAGATAAAAACACTCAATATCACTAAAGACAATACTTTTTTCCAAATTAATTCTAAATATTTCTAACAAAAACCTGAAAAATCTTCCCAGAACTTCCTAAGATATTCTTAAAATCAAATGGAATACAGTGGTAAATAGCTTAGATAAATTTGAAGAAAAAATAAGAAAAGGGAAATTGGTCTCTTTAAATGAAAAAGCTGGAGCACTTAAAACAATGTGGCACTGGCATAGATAGGCAAACAGACAAGTGGAAGGAACATAACAGAGATTCTGGAAACAGATACCCATATAGATGGGAACTTGATATATTACAGAGATTGCATTATAATTCAATGGAATAACCATAAACTATTCAATAAGTAATGCTAGGACAATTAGTGTTTGTTATGTTAAAAAATATCTTTTTTTCATACTACATACAAAATTCCAAACTGATTAAAATCTAAATGTTAAATGCAAAAATTTCAAGCTTTTAGGAGAAAATAGAGTAGAAGACCTATATGACCTTGAAGAAAAGAATCATTTCTTTTTCTTTTTAAAATTTTTAATGTTTATTTATTTTTGAGAGAAATAGAGAGAGACAAAGTACAAGCTGGGGAGGGGCAGAGAGACAGGGAAACAGAATCCGAAGCAGGCTCCAGGCTCCAAGCTGTCAGCACAGAGCCCGAAGTGGGGCCCAAACCCACGAACCATCAGATCATGACCTGAAACGAAGGTGGATGCTTAATCAGCTGAGCCACCTAGGCACTCCA